TTCATAGGGTAGGTACAATGTGACTAGCGGAGTGGAACTGAGCATCGTCGAAACCTTAGAACTACTTCTCAAGAGGAATTTAATCACTTGAATATTTTCTCCGCTCGAAGCATAGTGGAATCGTATTTACTATGTTTTGTCGTTCCATTTCACAGTTAACCACACTTATTATGTACCACTCAAAAGCTTTTTTCCTCAACAACATTTCTGCATATAAAACATTGAAAACTAATTGCATTTGGGCAGAGAAAAAACCGAAATAGCATTTACTACTATATGAGAAGTGAGATCTATTCTCCATAGTTCCAATCTTATGGTGATCTGTTTTCTTTACGACACTCAACTAAAGATACCACCTGAGAGAGCGTTTCATGGGCTACAATCTGGTATACAGACATTTGCGAAAAAAGTGTAAACTTCGTTTAGGACTGGTAGAAAACTTGCTCAAAAGTCAGCAATAACCCCATCTTGAAGATATAAAAACCAGTGCAGTGGAAATTAAACATGTTGGACTATGTAGCTTTGTATAAATCTCAAAGATGAGTTTTTTGACACAAGGGCGATCTTAAAGTGCAGATACATCAATCAAAATGAAGCTGAGCCATCTGCCTCGTGAAAATTCAGTTAATAAAAACCCAGTGGTACAGAATCATCAGTTTTATTTTGACTTACTTTTAAAATTAGAACGAGAAAGATTAGCACAATTTTTGAAATTTATATATTTGTTGTTTTGGATCAATAATTAATTGATGTGTATGATATTTTATTAATTCATTGTGTATGATATATTGTGTATGATATTTTATTAATTATGTCTATGTGATACAGTTATATATTGAATTGGTGATTGCTTTAAACTATTGTAGATAGAACGTTCTGTTTGTTCATCACATCCACTCGTTGTTTCATCCAAAACAAAACATTTTATTTGATCACTTCCGATCAATAACGAACAAACAATAATCAGTCGTTGTTGTTCTCCGACAGACAATATTTTTGACCATAATTGTCTTGTATCCCATGTATAACGATCGATTAAATGATGTAAATTAAATTGTTTTAGTAGTTGATATGATTGGTGTTCTTCATCTTTTTGAATGGTCAACAAACTATCACCATATTTTGCTTGTTTTAATAAGCTTGTTTTAAATAAGATAATTGTTCACGTAATGTACCTTCGATTAAATGTATCTGTTGGGGTAAAAACAACATCGATTGTTTAGATAAAATTTTAATACATGATGTTTCAATTAGCTCTTCGTCATCGTTATCATCAGTTAAATTGTAGTTTAAACCAGCTAATAGACGTAACAATGATGACTTTCCACAACCCGATGGTCCCGTGATAATTAATGATGATGTTTTTGATTCCAAGACAAAATTTAGTTGCTGAATTAATAGATGAGATGTTTGTGAGATACGAATATTAACATTTATTAATGATAGTATGTTGTCGTCGTTGTCTACATAAATACGACGGTTCAATTCTAATTCTTTGAGTTGTAAGTAATGATGACTTTTATTCAATACTTTCAACTGAGCTGAAAAAGGGAAAATAAAGGGATTTTATAAATCAAATAAATAAACACTTTTTTCGTAACTATAGTCAAAAATTTTCTGAACTACCAGTTAAGTAAATCTGGCAGAATATGTAGGTAAAACTAATTAGCAGGCCCGTCAATTTGAGTTTCATTTTTCTAGATTCACTGAATTTTTCCGGATATTTCGACCTCTTTATACCAGTGACGTAGCCAGGATTTTACAATGGGGGTCGACGCTGCCCCAAGACTTTTTAGAAGCTGTCGAGATAGTGCGTTTTAGTTCCGTAAGAGACAATCTATAGTTAACAGCGAAAAACAGAGCAATTAAATAAATTATTTGCGTTAGATCTGGTATAAAATTGAAAATGTTAAAAACTCTTAGGTTGGAAGGGCTAAGCTCATCTCAACTCATCCGTTTGGTACGCCGCTAATTGGTCATTATCGAAGCAAGTAACATAAGCTAAACACAAATTACTCTTTTACAAACGGAAGAAGAAAACTTACATGAATTTTTTTCGTGCCACTGTTTTTAAATATCTTGGCGAGCATTGTTCCAAGACTAAATAAGTGTTCATACACCTGGTGGCTTCATAGCAAGAGAACATCATGCTTCTTTTCTTCTTTACGCGGATGGTATTATGTTAGCAGCTCTCTACAGACAATGTCCGGAAAAAAGATTATGGGAAGTTTAGTGGTTCGTGCATATAAGGTGCCGCTAATTCAAAAATCAAGCACTCTTCATTTTTCCTTGAAAGACACATCATCCGATGCAGAATTTTGTGCTGATTACGAATATCACCTTTTTAGTTCGATTTGTTTGAGTTTTGTG